GTGTATAGTGCTTGACAAGTTAGACAGCTGGTCTAATACATTCGTTAAGCTCTGCAGCTCTTTATCATTTCCTGCAGTCAAAAAGAAACGGCTAATTTCTCATATTTCTGACCTCTGTGGCTTTGGACACTGCTTGTAATTAGTTTTTTTTTTTTTATATTAAAGAATAGAAAAACCAACATGGACTACAATGAGTAAGTGAATAATTAGATGAGATGAGCAGAGTGGCCTCAGCGGTGCAGGGTCCTCTGTAGACATGCTAGGGTTAGTTTCCAGGGATTAGACAGTTGGTGCTGGGTGCAACATTACATATAGCTCTGCCACGATCCTTAAAACACTCACTAAAAAGTCACCAAACACATCACCAACACCATCACCAGCCATCCACTGCCCGCATGGTGCTTCAATAAACCTCCCTTCCAAACACCAAGCTCCCTTTGCCAGCAGATGGAAACCCGCCCTGCTGCCAGTAGGTGGCAGGGTTCCCCACACCGAGCCATGCCTGCAATTAGAGGTGCACAAAAGAGCCATGCCTGCAATTAGAGGTGCACAAAAGAGCCATGCAACACAACAGCAGGCAGTCAGCAAAGGGTGAGCACATGCAGGAGGAAGAGGGAGAGGGGCAGCCAAAAACATGTGTGTGAACACCTACAGAGTGGAGGGAGAAACACAGAGACAGGAAACAGGATGAGATGACAGTGATTGGTACAGAGCAATACAATCACAGGAACACAGTTTCAGTCTGTAAAACACATCATCCAGTCTGAACCGACAGGAGCACCAGGACGAGCAGACTGATTTACTGAACAGCCAGAGTTCAGCCAGAGCCAATTACAGCTGCTTTAGGACATCTAGCGTCTCCTGTAGGTGCAGACTGCAGCGGTAAGCATGGGATGGAAGCAAAATGAGACTGAAAACATCAGAAATAATCAATCAAGCAACTGATGAGGTTTGGTGCCAAAGAGAAAGTGAACACACCGAGCATTTAATCATCCTCAGTGATGGTCAGAGACAAAACATGCAGACTGCAATGAGGTTTTCAGTTTGAATGAAAGACAAACCACAGAGGCTGGTTGTGTCTTCTCTCATTTTGTATGCAAATATGATGCTGGTTGGTCTCATTTACTGTTTGCATATCCACTGCAGGACAGGACAGAGCAAAGATCTCCCTAAAGAAGTTCTGATACCTGATCAGGACTCATCAGGATTAAAGCCTGATCATGGTGTTGTAGAAAATTTTACAACTATAAACGCACAATCCAAACACATAGAAATATCATATTCTCCTGATCTAAAGGGACACGTGTTAGCGTTGTGTTGGCATCATGCAGTGTGAGACGTGCAGGCAGGCAGCGGTACCTCCGGGCCAACTGGCACAGCGTGGCCACACTCCACTGTGTCAGACTGGACAGAGAGCGGCCGGGCCGGCTGGAGCTGGAGCAGAAACCAAGACAGCCGACATGACCGGTGGGAATGCAACGATCATTCAGCTCCTTTCACTCAGCACACCGCCGAGTCCCAAACTATGAGCCATGTTTGTTTTGTTCTGCTTAACAGATGTCTACAGGAGCTTTATGAGCAAATAAATAAAACTAAATTACATTTTAACATTTAATATTCTGTGAATTAAATATTTCAGTCATGACTGCAGTAAATTAAAGACTGGAATTGAATAAAAACAGAACTATTAGAGAATGTACGGACTTGTTGAGGAGACCATACTCCACATCAAACTCTGGTATTTGTTTCAGAGCTCACTGAGCTGGTCTTCATCCTGAGATGAGGCGTCTCATAGCTGCAGCAGCTCATCCATGTTGTCGCTTTATCTATGCATCTGTTGCAGCAGGTCAATGTTTATGTGCCTCGATGGCCGAGTCTAGCGCAGGGCAGTCTGGAGACCACAGACTGCACCAGCTGTCCAGGATGGTTTGGATTTGACTGAGCTCGGTTCTGTTGCTATTCTATAGAAATAAAGTGCTGAAATCACAGCCTTTAGATCAGACAGCTGATCTGTGGTCAGACAGGACCGTCAGTGGTCCACCTCAGCAGGACACTCACTCTTCTACACAAGCTGAGGCAACACAGAGGCCAGAAGAAGCAACCATACACGTTTCTAAAACCAAACCTTTCAGCACGAGCTGTCATATTTAACATTTTCCCTGCAGTGGATGTGCTGTGTAAACGTGACCGTGAGCTGAAGGAAAGCAGAGGAGCCGCCACCATCACAGCGTCAGTGAGCTTGGGTAAGAAGAGGAGCGTCTCTGTGGCCCGGAGAACAGAGCCACAGAGAGGAGGAGATGGTGTTAGAACACTAGAACTGATTCTACATATGGACCTGTTGAACACCACCCTGCGGAGTTGGGCCTTAAGGCTGCGCAGCAGCTCCGACCTGAGCAGGTTCTGACACAGGCAATAGGTGCACCTGTTGCAGGAACACATGCAGCGGAGACGGGCGTGGCTGCAGAGAGACACATAGAGACGGTGTTTTCACCAGCACACAAAGACAACGCACACGCACACGCACGCACGCACACCAAAACACACACACACACACACACACACACACACTAAAACACACACACACTAAAACACACGCACACACACACACACACACCAACACACACAACAGTCAGGTGGATAACATATAGACGTTTCTGAATCAATGCAGGACCTCCTCCTGAGTGAACACCTGAACTGCTCCTGTTCACCATAGTCCAACTTAAACCTTTAATATAAAGCATTGAATGGTATAAATGATCTGAAGCGAAGGGCTGCACTCATCTGACTGACTTGTTTCTGAATAATCGATTTACTGTTTGAGTCTGAATTCACCTTCGTGGCCAGAACAGTCCACTCCTCGCCTTTCCAAAGCACTTCTGTTTAAATCAAAGCACCGTTACTCAAACTCCTGCCCCGGGGTGCAGCTGATCCAAGCCAATCTCAGAGTTTAGGCAAAGGGATTCCTGGACTGATACGATTAGATTTAGGAGGCGCGTCCCTTAAGTGCCAGTTAATCTGCTGTAAAATCTAATCTGATCAGAGCTTTGGGGAGTTAAGACACCTGGCAGGTAAAGGATCCACAGCTAAATACTTGCATGGCTGCACACGTCCCTCCAGCACCAACGTGCAGAGCAGACTGTATAACCAGGATGGAGCGTGTTACTGGTCCTGCTGCCTGAACCACTGACGAGAGACGGGAGGGTGAACAGTTCATACTCACGGATACATGGCCATGGTGGTGAGTCTGGTGTAGATGTCTTTGTTGGGTGCGTCGGTCGAGTTGCACGTGAACGGCTGCGGGGGGTGGAGCTTGTGCTTACGGCAGAACTCGTGCGGCGTGAGGCTGTAGTGCTGCCGGACTTCGTGCAGGTCCGACTTGGCAGCGATCAGCACGCAGGGCGTCTTGCTGTCTATGAAGTATTGCTGCCAAACACAAGCCCTCAGTCACACAACAGGTACAACCAGACCTTCAGCATCATCTGGACACTCCTGGTCTTACACACCTTGTACACTTTTGCGCAGTACTCAAACGAGCGGGGATTGTTGATGTCATACACCAGGCAGACCACGTCGCAGGCCAAGTCTGCCTCCGATAGGAAATCGAAGTCTGGCATCACCTCGTGGAGCTTGTAGCGAGCAGACAAGATGGAGCAGAGAGAGATCAGCGGAGTGTGCAGATGGACGGATTAATGCCGATACTCAGCATTACACTCAGATTACGCAACATTAATCCACAGAGCAGCTGATGAGATAATTCCTCCGATTAAACGGCTCTTACCAGCAGGTACTTCTCCTGACCGTAAACATAGGTCGTGCTGATGGCATAGAAGGACTTGTGATCTTCTCTGATCCGCCTCTGTCGCTGTGATGGACAATAGAGGTCAGTAACACCTATAGAAGCTCAGTCAGCCTTCATTTTCCTCGTTCTACGATAGTTATTTATCGTAACTGCAGCACTTTTTAGCTCTTTAAAAAAGGTGCCATCCACACAGACGGTTATTATTTATGCACCAAAGGTTCCCCACATATCCTCAATGAATGTACAAGACCTCCAAATAAAAGCTGATTTTCTATTGAATACAAGTCCATTTAACATTTTACATGTTTGTAATCAGACATTTTGTAGCTTCGTGTCTCCAGGCAGACAATGAAGATTCAAATACATGTTTACAGAGATGTTCCATGACGCCCACTGACCTGCAGGTTCCTGCCGAGGAAAGCTTGGAGGAAGCCGCTCTTCCCACTGCCTCGAGCTCCCAACACGTTGCAGCGGAAAACACTGCGCTGGGTCTGTTTTTTCTGCAGATCGATGCGCTTGTTACGAGTCACTGAGAGAACAGGAGATGCACATTTTTGTAAGCAAGAATGGAAACACCAAAGAAAGCTGGAAATAAAGCCCAATGTCCTACCAGTTATAGCAGCCGCCTGGGACTCCTGTTCGTAGATGATGGAGTAGCCGAGGTAGCCCAGGTACTCCAGGCTACGCTGCACATCTAAGTATGTTGTTAACCTGCCAAAGAAAGCACAAAAGGTCAAGAAGCGTCAGACAGTGTTTGAGATTTCCGCGTGTGTTCTGTAAGCCCGATCTAGTCGAAGTATTTAGGTAGCATGACACTAAAACACTCACGTCCACTGGGAGAGGTATCCCTGGTACGTAATCCATCCCTGCTCATTGGTACACACTGTGTTGTTGACATCTGGACCCCAGGGCATGTAGGGAAACACTTTGAACAAGTCCTTCACCTCATCGGGCGACAGCGCACAGTCTCTGTCCTACATCATGTGCACATACATTCACACGCACAATTCTAAACGTCTGGCATGATAAACAAAAAAACTGTAAAATGCACAAAACAATCCTTGCTCTCTGTAACGGGAACATATGACCAAGAAATAAGAATGGTAACAAAATGTATTTCTAAAGAGAAACATAAATGCTGTGATGTTCAGGAGCACTCACTTTGTCATGCTTGTCGAAGACACTCTGAAGGAAGAGGTAAGCGTTGTGGTTCAGCTCGGTGGTGCAGTCTGCTGGGATCTTGATCCTGACATGTGGAGACGGACAGACGTTAACTAAACATACGTCTGTGCAGCCGCGACACAACCGACGGCTTCACTTCAGGTTATGAAGATGACAAGAGCACATCAGTCAGACAGGAAACGGTGTGAGACTGTGATCATCAGGCTAAAGGGAGAACAAAGATCTCAGCAGCTGTGTTACAGCTGGACAGGATGTGATGTGAGCACTCCTGGTGGAGGAAACACGTCTTTACAGCAGGGACACCAGACAGGTGCTACTGGTAGCATTTACAGCGGCTCTGCTGTGCTTCGGCCTCAAATAAACACACCATCTGAGGTTGCTAATCTTTTACCTGTGGAGGCAGACGATAACGAGTTACGTTCAGTCAATCAGCTTCTTTGTGCTCACATCGGACTTTTTGGTCACACCAACCTACGCGTTCAGATCTTCACTTAGTTCTGATAAATGTCCCTGATCTCCTTCCTGACAGCACAAGAACCAGAATTTAGCATAACACC